GGCGCTTAAATAGTTGGAATCAACGTTCACCCGGCTAAAAAATTAGATTTTGGCAAAAATCCACTTGCCCCGGGAAACCCGAAAATTTGACCCTTTGGCTGGGGCCAAAAAAAACGGTTTTTCAGTTTTCACTTTTTCCACATACTTTTGAGAGTTCTGAATAGCCCGTCGCTTAAATAGTTGGAATCAACGTTCACCCGGCTAAAAAATTCGATTTTGGCGAAAGTCGACTTTCCCTCTGGAAAAACAGAAAATTTGACTCCTTGGCTCGGGGTGAAAAAAAAATTTTATTTCGACTTTTTCTCGCGCCTTCGGGGGTTTCATTGGAATCAGTATTGTTAGAAAATACAGAATCAACTTTCACTTGGCGAAAAAATTCAATTTTGGCGAAAATCGACTTTCACCCTTGACCCACGTGAAAATGAAAAATTTTTTTTCCCCTTTTCTGTCACCTCCGAGGGTTTCATTGGCATCAGGGGGTCAATAAATACAGAATCAACGTTCACTATTTTTTATTTAAACACCGCCTACAAACGGGGAGATGAGGGTGGCTAAAATATATTCTGCAACCCTGTCTCCTCGTTGGCTAGAAATTTCAACCCTCCTCATACATGCCTTCCCCTTCACCCGCTCGTAAAATCACGCGATCTCGGTAGCATCGAGGAGGACTTCTCAGGACCGAAAAGAACTGAGGATTCGAAAGGTCTCTGGAAAAGTACGTCGCAGAACTGATTAGGACTTACCAGGTCCATCTAGGTCTGGAGAGATCTTGAAAGACCTGTGTACGTCCAATCAGAACCAAATCCTCGACTCGGGATGGACATATCAATGGTATGCAGCCAGTAGTTTTCATAGCGGCCGTAGAGAAGCATTCACAATTTTTATTTGACAAAAACATTTTCATTCTCCTGTAACACTGCTGTGTCCAGTATTTTTTCCGGCCTCAGGCGAAAACGGAATTCAATACAAGAATTTTCAGATTTTGCAGTACTTCCTTTAGATCTTGTGGAGACGCCTCATTCCACGCCCCAGGCCAAACAAATATGCCAGGAGAACTGGGTGTCTGATCATTAATTTCCGTTCTACTTGGTTTGTTTTTCATGATCAAACAGTCGGCCAACGAGATACTCAGTTTTGTTAGAATGACGAACATAATTTTTCCCATACTTTCCGTAGATGGCGATTGACAGACACTAAGTATCCAATTTATTTACTCTCGACAACTCCTTGAGAGTAGTGCACTGTCAAGATAAACATGCTGAATTATGGAAAGCTAAGCAGTGTCAAGCATGGTCTGTGCGGGGATGGGTGACCATTAGGGTGACCCATCCCCACCCCCATCGTTTTTGCTTCCATTCGGAAAATTATCAATTTTCTGTCAGTGGTCGGTTTTACCCTAGGGGTCCGTCTTGACCCCGGACCCCGTTTGGTCCGCGACCTCCCCTCCCCAATTCTATAGCAGTAGAGAAATTATAACTGCGCAAGTACTTCTCAATTCTCCGATTATTTATTCCTATTCTATAGAATCGGAATCGGGGTATAGCCCGGTCGTTTTTCCCCAATCGAACTCCAGAAGGGGCTGATGTATTCAGAATTTATTCACGGCCGTTAGCTACAGTTGAAACACATGGTGAAACTCAATTACATTTCTACCGACTGTATCATTCACCGTAGAGAATGGTAATCATTACGATGGAATTGGAAAAGAATCGTTAAAATAACAGAAAATACAGAAAATACCCGGCAGTAGAGAATAATACATCACGAGTTTATCTTTATTCATGAACAAGCCCCAATCCGGGATTTACGTGTGTCGTGTAGCAAAAAAAAAAACTCAATTTCAAAGCTGAACCACGATCTCCATCCACTGGTGGTAATTCTCAACGATTGGATGATTTTCCAATGCAAATTGCAGTCACTTCTGGTTGACGCGCGCAATATTCTCGTGATATTTCTCTCATTTCGAAACTTTCAGCTATCAAAATTGCGGCATTCTGTTATCTTGGGGAACACCCTGCTAAAATTCTTGAAATGAGCAGAATTTAGTACAGTTGCTCCCACTCTATCATAAACTGGGGTTTCTAACTCTTATCTGAGCGTCAGAATTCGCGCCATACGGACCGCTTCAATGTAGACATATCATCAGTTTCACTCATCTCTCCCTCCAGCACAAAAAGTTGAGTATCTAAATGTTGAACTAATCCTGTAAACTGATTATTTCGAGGGAAAAAAATTCATTGAGCCTCTGCAGAAGGTAATCACTCTGGCTGATGGTAGCGAATGGGCCATTGATGTTGAAATGAGATATCTGTTTGGAATTTACTTCAAAAGGATATATGACCCGTTAATCTTCATGAATTCAACCCCCATGGGCTAGTTATACAGAATAAAAATGCATTGCTGATTAAATTTCAATAAATGACTTTCGGCACCAAAAAAGACCAATTTATATAGGGTAAATAGCAAGAATAGTGCTATTCGCCAAATAACTCTATGAAATCCGTACAGAACAATCCCCAAAATTCTTGAAATGAGCAGAATTTAATAGTTTCTCTCACTGTATCATAAACTCGGGCTTCAAACTGTTACCTGAGCATTAGAATTCGCGCCATACGGACCGCTTCAATGGTGATATTTTCCCTCATTTTTCCTCCATCAGAAAAAATCAAATATCTGAATGTCGAAATAAAACTGTAAACTGCAGATATTTTGAGTGAAAAAATCCACCGGGCATTTGCAAAAGGCAATCACTCCTCTTGATGGTAGAGAATTGAGTAGTGGTATTGAAATGAGATATTTGTAACCCGGCGGTGTGGCGCACTTGGTAGCAGCATGAGATTCACAACCTCAAGTTCCCAGGTTCGAGCCCCGGCCGGGCCAAAATTCCACACCAATTTTTCATCACAATTTTCCACATAATATTCAACTGAAAATTCAACACAATTTTCAAACCGAATATTCCACGGAATTTTCAACTGAAAAATCCACTCTACATTCAAAATTCCCTGGCTGAAGGCCCTCGGGCGATGGCCGCAAGTTAACCCTTGCAACGAAAAACCGGTGAAATTTGAAATTTGAGATATTTGTTGGAATGTTTCAAACGTGAATTTTTAAAAAATTCTGTCAAAACGAGTGTGGACTAGTTGTCGAGAATAAATGAATTGCTGATTGAATTGCAGTGAATGAGTTCATCCAACATCGAAAAATGACCAATCTACGGTGTAAATATGAAGAATCATGCAGTCGCCGAATCGTCCTACGAAATCGGTATGAAAAAACCTGCCAAAACCCTTGAGATGAACGGAATTTGTAGTTTCTTCCGTTATGTCATGAGCTGGGATTGTTAACTATTTTTCGACGTACAAAATGCTTCAATGCAGACATCTCGAGAAATAAAATATCTGGATGTTGAAATAAAACTGTGAAATTATTATTTTGGGAGAAAAAAATCGGCGACGGCGGCCGAAGTGGTTAAATCGCTCGGCCGGACAGCGGGACCCGTGAGGCGCGGGTTCGAGTCCAGCTTGGGGCAATTGGGATTTTTAATCTTTCGAGAACCGTCGAACGGAAGTCTAGATACTGAGAATCATCGGAGAAGTGTTGTTAGGAAAACATTCTCCAATGAAACTCGGTCGATGGACGCCCGTGTCAACCAAGGTTTTCCATGGTTTCCCTTGGTCACCAGGAGAGTCTGTACGTGAGGTACAGCTCCTGGGGTACAATGTGACGGGAGAGGAAGTCGGCCCATGAAACAGCAAATATGTTAAAACTCGAATAGGGTATATATGATAAGGAAAATAAATATTGTGGGAGAAAAAAAGCATTGGGCCTTTTCAAAAATGAAATGAGATGTTTGTTGAACTATTTCAGACTTTTAATTCTTTTAGGATGCAATTAAAAAAAATATATACCCCATTACTCTTCATGTATTCAACGCGAATGCACCGTTTATTGACAATAAAATAAATTGCCGATTGCATTTCACCGAATGAGTTCATTCAACACTGAAAAATGACCAATTTATACGGTGTAAATAGAAAACAGTGCAATCGCGAAAGCGTTTCATAAAATCGCCATGAAACACCCCATCAAAATTTTTTTAATGAGCAGAATTTAGTGCAGTTTCTCCCATTAGGTGATAATCTGGGGTTGCTAACTCTTATCTAAGTGCCAGATTTCGCAATATACAGAACGCTTCAATGCCGACATCTCATGTTTCACTCATCTCCCTCCATTGTAAGAAATTGAGTATCTGAATATTGAAATAAAACTATAAATAAATTATTTCAAAACAAAAAAAACATTGGGGCTGTGAAAAAGGCCATCACTCCCTCTTAACCCTTGATCACTAGCTCAATGAGCGCCTCGCCGCCCGTTTTCTTTTTTTTTTGTATTTTAGCGTGTTTTTCGACGCTTAAAAATTCAGAAAAAAATTAGAGTTCCGAGTTCAATCCTTTTATTAAACGTTGGTATTATCTTTTTTTTTCTCTGGAAATTTGTTTAGCTAAGAAAAAGAAACGTCGCACGGACAAAAAAGCGGTCCTGCGCCGCCCGCTGCGACTCCCCGTTCACCGCTCGAACGCCAGTGTTGCTGCATTCACTGCCACGCTTGAAATGCGCGCATAGTGGTGAGCGCTTACGTGGCAACAGCGCGCTCGTTTAACCCAGCGCTGCGCTAACCGTGCGACGTATGAAGGCCGGCGGCCGAGCGCGAGTGATCGACAGTTAATGAAGCATCGATATTCAAATGAGAAATTTGTTTAATTGTTTCGACCGTCTACTTTCTCTATTATTTAATTAAAAAAGATATATGCCCCATTACTTTTCATGTATTCAACCCGAATGCACTATTTATCGAAAATGAATAAATTCCTGATTCAATTTCACACAATGAGCTCATTCAGCACCGGAAACCGATCAATTTATACGGAGTAAATTGAGAAAATACTGCAGATCGCTCCGTTCACACGAATAATCCATTGTTCTCTTGCATCTAGTCGTTAATCAACAAAAATGAGAAATAGGAATTTTCGTTAATTACACGTACCTGAAAAGAGGCGAATAGTTGATCCCCAAATAGCCAAATGAGTTCCACCCTTTGATCAACTCCAATGCTGTAAGAGAGCCCCAGAAATACGGTGTAATGAACACCGAATAATGGAACAAGCACTAATGTACTCCTCGCCCATCTCCTGAAAGCCCGAAAATTGGATTAAACTTCTCAATTCAATTTGCCAAAAATCCCGTATAAATCCCTTTGAATTTTCGCTCCACTGACTTATATCTCTGGGTCTCTTCGCACACTGTCGACTTCAATTTAGAGAGTAAAACTCTCACGATGTTAACGAAAAGTACGAAATTGATGAGAATGGATAGGATCGTGGGCACTCGGATGATCAGGAAGAGATCTGGAATGTCGTTGGTGGTCCAGCAGTAGTTGTCATCGTACAAGGCTCTCAGAATCACCCAGGGAATGACGAAAATTGCTGGTAATCCTGGAATTTAAAAAATGAGGTGAAACGGATCAACTTGAGTAGTCACACTGTTAGAAAAAAAATTAAATTTCATGAACAGTTGACATACAGAAAAACCTGAACGTAAATTACTTTTTGATAAACGTAAATTACGCCTAAACAAAACGTAAATTATGCCTACACTGTTAAAAAAAATGAAATTTCATGGATAGTTGACTACCAATTTTCCGGACAGTGACACTGAATGCACCTTTGGGGGGAAATCATCTAAAATTCCAGAATTTTAAGAGGCATACGACGAGAATTCCTCAATTTATTTGAATCTCCAATCTAATATGAATATTCAGTAGTAAATTACATTGAATTTCCAGTGAAACCTAAAATTTCATGGTTTTTTTCCCCCTAAATCGTATTCAGTGTCACTATCCTGAAAATTCAAGAATATATTTACCACAATTTTTTGATTTTCTGTTCATTTTCAGGGGAAAATAGTACGGAAATTTACAGTTCTGTTTTATTTTTCCACGAGATTCTAAATTTTCAATGACAAGATTTCCTGATATTTCAGTGGATCTGGAAGACGATAAAAATTTCGAGAATTTGGCACGGAAAATTCTGACAAAAATTGTTAACAGTGTAAACAAAGAGTCTTTTACGTTTATCGAAACATAAATTACGCTTATTAAAACGTAAATTACGTTTATCAAAAATACGAAAAAAGCATCGTAATTTACGGCAATTTTTAGCGTAATTTACGAATACGAGATCGTAAATTACGTTGATGAAATCGTAATTTACGGCGACTTAGAGCGTATTTTACGCTCCAACTTCAAGCGTAAGTCATCAAATATTCCATTGATTTTCTGTTCAAATGATCAAAAAATCAACAAAATACTTTATTTTTCAGTTTAATTATTGTGTGAAAATTCAGAAAAATCATGAAAATTCGTATCATTTTGTTTCTGAATATTCAAGCTCCACTGAAAATTCAATCACCTTGTAAAACTTCCATCTGACTCCCACTTAACATTCATGGATTTCCTTGAATTCTACTTAAACCGAAAAACTTCATAACCGTTTTTCCCCTAAATCTGATTCAATGTCACTTTATGATAATTACCGTCATATTATCCATGAAAATTCAAAAAAATTCTAACAGTGTATATCCATTCTAATGCCACTTTAATAGTATTCTGCTTTCTATTCATGAAATCATGATCATTCACGCTCCATTAATTCGAAAAAACGGTAGAGAAAATTTTTCTCCCACAAGTATTATAAATACTCACCCCATCCGAGAAGAACGTAGCCCATAATGCTGGAGTTTGAGTCCGTGAATAGCGCGAAAAATACGAGATTATGGAGATAAAGGCCTTCCATGAGAATCCATGAATAATTTGCAAGAATGAAGTATTGCCAGAAGCTGGTGAATACTTTGCATTGCCAATTGTTATCGTTATTCTCCAGTACATCATCTCGCCAGTACCTTTCGCCGTTTTTCGTTATGAGGTCTGATGCAAGACCGAGCCCAGACACATGGAGAACGTCCTTGAGAAGGGCCATGAAGGCACGGAACATGAATGATGCGAATAGATGCAGGTGCAGCATATTTCTTGGGCAACGTAATTTCCTAAATCAATTTTACAGAATCAATTTGCCATTATTTCTCATTCAATTTCCTCGGGGTTCATTATTCACTCACTTGATTGTTGCGAGGATGAGGAATGCGAAGAGGAGAGTGGAGAAGGATACGGCGTATCCGATGGTCGATGTCTTTGTGACGATAGGCAGATATCTCTGAAAATTCATAAGAGAGAAATTAATTGATGGGGATCATTCTAAACAAGTGGGACATACAAATTTTATTATTTTTTATCTTGAAACTGAGATCTGAGGAAAATGTGCCAGAATTCTCAATGATGTGGCATACTTAGAACTTTCTCCCATGAATTTTCCCTTTTTTTTCATTATTTCGACTTTTTAACCGCAACACCTTCACCCATTCCCCAATTGAGTATAAAATATGCTTCAATACTTCAATGAACACTGAGACAGAAATATAATTCTTCTGACTCTATTCCATTACCATCGAATTATAGTCAAAAAGTCCTCAACAATTTTTCATGGGTTACGGTAACTATGGCCGGAGAAGTAATTACTACAATGGAATGTAGTCATTGCATTTATTTTATAGTTCTCTTCACGATAGATTTGTCGTAGTTACTTTTGCACTTTGGTTAGTTTAACTGCATTTTGATTTGCAAAAATTACGCTTGTGAAGTTACTATAATGTTATGTGCCGCATACAAAAAAAATCGTATCGTTCACCAAAATGCCTCAACTATTTTCTTATTGTAAATCGAACTTCAGATTTTTCTCTCAGTGAAGTATATTTTGTACTCGAATCAGGAATAATATACTTAAATGAAGTATAATTTATACCAATCAAAAATTGTAATTCTTCAACCGTTTGTGATAATTAAAAGGAATATTATTGGCCTGGCGGTCGTCAGTATTTCTCAAAAAATAACAAAGATCAAATTTTGTGTGTCGACCTTTCGGTCTCCTTTGGAAACCCTCTTCAGGGCCACTATCCAATCATTATTCTCTGTAAAAATGAATTATTACACTTATAAAGTGAACCAAAGATAAATTCATATGTCGTAAATAAAAACTTACAATCTCATTGCACTGAATCTAATAAGTTAAACAAATGAAACAAACAATTGAGAGGATATATTGACTAGGAACCCCCATCATACTCTAGTTCCATCGACAAATACTAAAACCTCCAGTATCAGCACCACTTGATGAAAAAATCGTAACTCATCCATAAATAAATTAAACTATGCACACAAATTCGTCAATCAATAAAAAACACAAACCCATGTATATCAAAGTGCATTGTCAACGAAAATATACTTTATAAACAATATAATTTATTGTCAATCAATCAATGTAAATATAATGTATATTCAATTCAGGAATTTTTTTACCGTGAATGAAAATTCAGTGTCAATTCACTGGATTTTTTTTCAACTGGAAAAAACCGTTTCATATGACAGTCACCGTTTGAACTACTGTATATCGACAGTATTCCTGCAAACTTTCATTGCCCTTCCATTCTTTTGTTTTTGAGATAATCATCGCGAAACGTAGAATTTCCAAAAATTCCCAACTTCTGCATCGGCATCGGATGCAAGCGAATAAAAAAAGGAAATTTGGAATTTCATTGAATTTTCAGTAGTAATATCCCAAGAGCTTTAAAATGGTCGGGTATGTCCCGGTAGCTTTGTTGGGGACAATTCAGAGCGTCGAGCTTTGAAAGGTTAAAAATGCCAAGCGCTTTTGCATGAGGGATTTTCCTAAAAAACTTGACACGATCGTTTGTTTGAAAAGGGGACGTTGAGCGAAATACTCGATTCATTTTGGAGATGGAGGGGGTATTTGGAGAATTATTTTTTCCGTAGAATTTCGACCGAAGGCATTGTTTGTGGACGTTTTGTCAGGCACCGATGGGAGCGGGTCATATCGGAAAAATGATATTGAATATTGAATGTTGAATTTCGTGATTATTTTCGCCCTAAATCCTATTCAGTGTCACTCTTCTGAGAATGACTATTATTTTCTCTCTAAATCGAATTCAATGTCAATCTTCTGAAAATTACTAGTCAATTGTCTATGAAATTGTAATTTTTTCCAACCAGTGTAGAATTATTCACCCAATTTCCCTACAAAAATTCCCGGATTTATTCCAATTCTATTCAGGAACTTGGAAGGCAAAAGAATGAACGAAAAATTAAAAAATTGAGAGAAATCATGTTTTGAAACCATTAATTTATCGTAATTATCGAATTGTGGACAAACAATTTTAAATCTTCATTGAATTCACGTTTGATGCAGGATGCATTGTTAGTTACCAATGGCAGCGGTTAATATCCAAAAAATATCCGAAATAATTTCCTCCAGATTCCCTCAGCTGAGGTCAAATGCAATGATTCTATTGGTCGAAGTCGGTTGAAATACTTAGGGGAAAAATAAGATGTTGAATCAGAAATTTCTCGATTATTTCCTCCCTAAATTGAATTGAATGTTATTCTTCAGAAGATTACAGGTCAATTGTCCATGAATTGCAATTTTTTCCTAATAGTGTAGAATTATTCACCCAATGTCCCTACAAAAATTCCCGGATTTATTCCAATTATATTTAGGAAATTGGAGGACAAAAGAATGAACGAAAAATATAAAAATTCGAAGAAATCATTTTTAAAATCCATTATATTATTGTAATTGTCAGATTGAATAATTCGGATTGTGAATAAACGGTTCTTGGACCGTATTGGGTTCACGTTTCGAATGGAATTCAATGCCATTCTTCTAAAAATTACACGTCTATTATCCATGGAATTGCAATTTTTTCCTAACAGTGTAGAATTATTCACCCAATTTCCCTATAAAACTTCCTGGATTTATTCCAATTCTATTTAGAAAATTCAAGTGTAAAAGAATGAACGGAAAATAGAAAAATTGAGAGAAATCATTGAAAACAAAACACGAAGTTATCGTAATTATCGGATTGTACATTTAGGATTATGAACAAACGGTTTTTAGACTCTCATTTGATTTATTCATGAACATTTAGATAGGCTTCACCCTCATCCCTCGAACCTTGTTTCATCCTGCGATTGAATTCTCATTAAACTTCGTTGATTCTCAATTCCGTAACGCTGGGCGTGAATTCCCAGGCGATAGTGAAAGAAGCTTCACTCAAATATTTAATTCCCCCGAGCAATCCCCTGTTTTCTTCTCCGGGTATCCCGTGAGTTTGACAAGTGCGATAGAATCTCCCAATTGGTGTATTTCTAACGGGGTATTTCAAATACGGCATTTCACTGTTCACATTTTCTTTAGCCAGTTCAGTGTAACTCTCCAATGGGAGTCGTTTATTCGATGCTGGTATTTATTCAATTTATTGTGGGACACTTTGAATTGGGAACAAATGAATTATTGGGGAGGGGAATAAATTCTAAAGAGTAGAACAGGGAAAGTAAATTGAAAACTGTTGGTGAATACATTGCTACTACCTACGGTACTAATATTCGTTGTAAATCAATAAGTTTACATATTCTTGGGGGATATTTCCCGAAAGTTTTGTTCCATGGGAATGAAAGGCATCAGTTTTGCAAATTAAAATTCCGAGCGTGCAGCGTGAGGGGTTTTATTGCAGAATTTGTTCCGATTCGTTGATATTCAGGAAAGCCTGAGGGAAATATTCGAAATTTACTAGATTTTAGAAAATATTTTTTCTAAAATTAAGTATAGTTTGGTTTAGAATTAATCCCAATTCCGATCATTAACTTTAAACGATTTTTTTCTAGAACTTGGAAAAAAGTTCTCGAAATGTGAAGGTTAGAAATTACTGTTTATAAAATTTAGAAACATTTTTCTGAAGCTAATCCACTTTTTTTCTCTGTGCAGAAAATCTCGACAAATCTTGCAATTTGTTACGCGGAGAAAAAAAATCCGGAAAAATTACATGACAAAATCTAAAAGTGGTAGAAAATACTCTTCCAGGAATTTTTACATAAAAAAACGGAAAAATCCGGAGTGAAAATAGTGAAAATATATTTCAGGGCAAATGTCATGGGATCCCCTGGCAGTAGTCGTGGACGATACTTTTCCTTAGTAATTCTCCCTTGCACGAGATTGGGGAAGGGCCAATTCCAATCCCCGAGCGATAAAAAGAGTACAGCAGGACGGAAAATAAATTTTCCTTCTTGAGTTCTGAAAAATTGATGGATCGAAACGTAATTTTTACGGGACTCCATAAAAATTCGGGCGGAGAACAATGGTTGCTGTGAATTAGTAGCGATGCATCGCAGTTTCGGCAAACAATGTAATTTTACGTGATTTCTATGGCAGTTTTTCTACAATTTCTTCTCCGTGCCATTCAATAAAAAGTACTTCAAGTGGAGGATATTTTACGATTAGTTCAATAAAAAAATGAGATGGGTGGAAGTTAAATTGACGGTTCTTTCTACAGGGAAATTTCGCGCACCTGTGCTATACGTTTTTTCTTTGGGTGTGAAATTTAAATTTCATTTCATTAAGGTATTGAATTTAATTCAAAAGAGCAGTGATAAGGCGTATGTATCAAGCCCTACTCTCAGAGTTCAGTGTTATCCAGGGTTCGCAACGTGGATGCAGCTGGTATCAATCCCCAAAACAGCCCACAATATGAAAATTCACGGATGGTATATGAATTTATTTATTGCACTTTACCAAGCGTAATGTGCGCTCGATGCGACTCGAATTCGATCATTTTTAACCCTCGATCACTCGCGCTCGATCGCCAGCCTTCATCCGCCGCATGATTAGCGCAGTGCCGCTGGGTTAAACCGAGCGCGCTGTTGCCACTTTGCCGCTTACTGCTATGCGCGCATTTTAAGTGTGGCAGTGAATGTAGCAACACTGGCGCTCGAGGCGTCAACAGGGACTCACTCGCACCGGCCGGCGCGGCGTCGCGTTTCTGTCCGTTCGACGTTTTTTTTTAACTAAACAAATTCCCCGTGAAAAAAACGGACAACGCCCACGCTTAAGACAAGGATTGAACTAGGAACTCTAATTTTTTCAGAATTTTTAAGCGCCGAGAAACACGTTCAAATATATCCGTTCAAAAAAAAAAAAACGGACGACGCCGCGCTCATTGAGCGAGTGAATGAAAAATTATAACACCAATTTCTAATTAAAGCTATAGTATTTCGGTTCTCAATTTTATTTGTCTGATCAAGATATACATTTGGAAATAAACAATTTTGAAAGCAAGCATTCGCATTTGCATGGGGCAATACGATGTATTGATCCCGTACGTGAGGGGTTAAAAATAAATATAAAAATAAAAATGATAATATTTGTGGCCGATTTGTAAACTAAAGCTAATTTTAATAAACATTCCTGAGAACTGGTACTTTTTCCGCTTATTGGGAAAGGAAACTCTTAAAATTACTGAAAATCTCACTGAAATCGAGAACTTTTGCTCTCCGGATTTCATTATCACAGAGTACTGAAATCCAAAGATTGTTAGTGGAAAACAGAAACTTTTTCTTCGCGATCCTTTTTCGGCGAAAATCAATTCTAAAATTGGATTATTCCATCCCCTAGATGAGAAAAGGTAAACACCCCAAAAGAAAGGGTAAAATACACTAAACAAGAGTTCATCTATACTTATCGTGTTTTGTGTGTCTGAGGAGTTAATACCCCGGAAAAGAATTCTTCCCATTTCTCCTAAAATCACAACCTCTCAAGATAAATGCATAATTAGATTCCCGGAATGTAAGTTTGTTTATCTTCCCCGCAAACTGAAAATCGATTTTTCAACAAGTCTTCCTGTTTCACCATCGCACAATATTGTTGGTCAGTGCAAGGGTTTTAGGTCTCGCGAAAAACATCCAACTGTTTATCACTTATTTAGGAAAGGATATGTTTCCACACCTGTCTCATTTTTCAAAACTGATTTATACCATGGAGGGCAATTTTTTTTTTAGATACACTGTTGACAAAAATTTTAATTTGATCAACGTTGACTAGTAATTTCCAAAAGAGTGACATTAAATTCAATTCAGGAGGAAAAAATCATAAAATTTTAGATTTCAATTGAAAGCCCGAGTTGTAGACCCGAGTTTGTAGCAGCGATGTCAGACAAGATATGAATGTTTTTTTGGGCTCAAACGAAAGAGCGGGTCGAGAAATGGCGTGCTAGGACCTCTAAAGATGGTTTTGACCAGGGGAGACTCCTAGACCCCACTGGACAATGTTGTCACAATTGCGCTTTTCAATTGAAAACAGACATCATCTTTAGAGACATTTGTCATCTTTAAAGACTTCTGCACGCCATTTTTCGAGCCGCTCTTTCATTTGAGCCAAAAAAAACATTCATATCTTATCTGACATCTCTGTTACAAACTCTGGTCATCAACTCTGGTTTTCAGTTGAAATTGGAATTGTTAATTTACACAATAATAGGATTGCATTGACGATTTTCTCTTGACTCGCAAAAATCTTCAAACAATTTTCTATCGATTGGTGATAAAATTTTTTGGAAATAATGAAATAGAGGGGATACGCCTTTTTTTTCAGAGGTGATTTCTCAAAACTTTATTTAAAAAAAAGTACTAACTAGCAAATGTTTTTTATTAGCTCGCAATTTTCTTCAAAACTACTTCNTTTTATTTAAACACCGCCTGCAAACGGGGAGATGAGGGTGGCTAAAATATATTCTGCAACCCTGTCTCCTCGTTGGCTACAAATTTCAACCCTCCGCATACATGCCTTCCCCTTCACCCGCTCGTAAAATCACGCGTTCTCGGTAGCATCGAGGAGGACTTCTCAGGACCGAAAAGAACTGAGGATTCGAATGGTCTCTGGAAAAGTACGTCGCAGAACTGATTAGGACTTACCAGGTCCATCTACGTCTGGAGAGATCTTGAAAGACCTGTGTACGTCCAATCAGAACCAAATCCTCGACTCGGGAGGGGAGCTGGTGCATGTACCGACCACCTGAGGGAAATGAGTCGTTTTTTCCAGCCTCGCACTCTACCAGGAGTCATGAACGATTAGAATGGGTTCTTCGAGGTGTTTACTCGAAGATGTGAAGAGGACAGCTTTTTTATTAACATTAAACATATTTAATTATGTAATTCAATTGCCATCGGCCAGTGAGCGATGAAATCGAACTTTGAGGGTAATACCGCCCGGCATGCGTCCAATACCGCCCACCTTGTTTTAATGACTTTTTTGAGCAATGAAGACCAACTGTTATAATTTTTCCTATTTTCATCCTTCATTTCCATTCTTTGGCTCCATTTTGAGAAAGATTTCTCGTGAATAATAATAAATTATCCTGAATTTACCCGATGTTGCAGTGGCCACCGACTACCCCAAGCAATCGAGCTGTCACTCGACCGTCCTCTAGCTGCAGAGTCTTGCAGTCCTATAGAAATCCTGAGTGGCATCACCCACAAACTCTGGCCCGAATTACCNAAATTATCCTGAATTTACACGATGTTGCAGTGGCCACCGACTACCCCAAGCAATCGAGCTGTCACTCGACCGTCCTCTAGCTGCAGAGTCTTGCAGCCCTATAGAACCCCTGGGCGGCATTACCCACTAACTCTGGGCGGAATGACCCACAAACGCGGAGGCTGATAAAATAGCCAATAATAACTGATGAAGATATTTTTCTGTTATCAAAGAGGTCGCAATGGATATGGAAATGTATAACGAACATACACTGATAGAACGGATTATTTATTATTAACGAATGGATTTTGATTGGAGGTTAGGGTCTATTCGGTCCCAACAAATGTTCATTCGTTAATAGTTAACGAATGTATATTTGAGGAGCCTTGTTTGACTTGACTTTCGCCATTCAAGTGAACCATTCGTTAATAGTTGACGAATCTCGTTTGGAATAAATGAATCATTTTATCAGTGTATATTTCGCACTCCATTCAATTATGCGTCCAACTGAAAATTTGAAAAAACTTAAATTCTGGGGTCGAAGTATTTTAAGAATTCGGAAGGAAATGATTAGGATTTTTTAACAATGTTTCCACTGTAGAAAATTGAAAAATTCTGTTGAAATTACTTGTGATTATCAAATATTTACATAATAAAAAAAGAAAAAAAATTGTTTTCTCAGTCAATCCTGGGAAATACGGGTGGGCGGTATTACCCGCTGGGCGGTACAGGCGCCAGCTACCCTAGGGTGAAAAAGTCCTAGAAACGGATTCCGCTCCAAGATTATTTGACTCGTTTGGTAACTTTTCTCCAACTTTTTTCAGTCACTGAACTGACATCAATCAACTATCCAACATTTAACGTCCTCCGCGTCTACTCATAACGACCGCGCTACTCTGTACCGCTCTAAACATTGCGTGGATGTATCACCGGAATGGGGAGGATCAAAACCCTGTTGTCAGAGTACACACCGAGAATCCGTTAGAAATGTGCATCAAGATGGAAATAAGCCGGAAGCATCTGCCAATTACCCTAATATGATTCCCAGCTTCAATGCATCTGTACCTTTATCAGAGTTGCATTGCGCTCCTGCACTTCCGCTATATCCATGAGCACAGTGACAAACTGGGTTGCGTAACACTGTGTATAGTTGCTCCACGTGCTATTCGTCTCTGGCTTCATGTACCATTGGCCGTCGGGCAAACACTGTCGCGATGCATTCGCCTGGAAAAATAAAAAAAAACGACATTCATTCTTTCGCTCCACCCGGATGATGACATTCACCACAATAAAAAGCACATTCTGCATGTAATGACATCGAAAATAGATGAGAGATACTGAATCATTAATGAGATTTTGTGTTTTTCAGAGAGGAAATACAAAACGGAAAATATCGTACACGAAAAAAAAAATTACTTCTCAACGGTACAAACCGGTACTTGGGGGAAGTTCACTTTTGAAAAGTTCGAAAAATACTCGTCCCAAGTAGGGGACGGTGGGGCAAAATGAAACACGGGGCAAAATAAAACAGCAAGAAAATCTTGTGATCTAAGGGAGATAGGACGATTTTCATGAAAACCTTTTTTGTAGAGAATTTTACAAGCTACAAAAAAGGTCCTCTTCAAAAATGTCCTATCTCCTTTAGATGACGAGATTTTTCCACTGTTTCATTTTGCCCCGTGTTTCATTTTGCCCCATGCTCCCCTATATTTTGTGTCCTTCGGTGAAGTACCGCATACTTTTCACAAATACCAAAGGTACTGGTGAAAAGTAATTTTTCAACTTCTCTCAAGTACTTTTAGGACAGAATTACAGTACTCCCAAGTGATTACTTTATTGAAAAAAGTGAATATTATTACCGGATATAATGGGCATTCTTACACATTTTTGTAAATAGAAATGTTCAGCAGAAGATATTTTGTAGGAAAAAATCAATAGATTGCGATTTTTATGGATGCTTTCGAGAATTATTGGTATGCTTGCCCACCTACAAAATTTCAATTTTGTTGAGATTTTTATGTTTTATGTTGTTATCAACATTTAAAAAGCTTCGAAAAATTATTTTCAATTTCTTTCCAATTTTATTACTCACAAAAAAGGGAATTATTTGGATTTTTGAATTTTTGACGGAATTCGGTTTTTAGAAGAGGTAGAAGAACATTTTTGGGTTCTTATACTCAACTTATGTTGAGTTTATTCGGTACTTTTGAAAAGAACCAGCCAGATACTCAGTACAAGTAATTTTTTTACTTGTCCCAAGTAACCAAATACTTGTGACAAGTACTGAGGTACTTCTCACCAGCACACAGGTACTTGACGCATGATACTTGAATCAAGTTATTTTGTAACTTCGAGGAAGTACTAAAATATTTTCCCCAGAAATCCCTTGGTACTGGGTACAAGTACTTTTTCTACTGATCAAAAGTGATTTTTTTGCGTGTAATTTTTATACAGAATTCAATTCAGATTTATGTTGACAGCGAACATCACCTGTAAATCGAATCCCGCGATGTACCTCGGACAGGATAGGACAGCCAGATCCCCTGGGGCTGTTGCTGGCCAACAGAGAATACCGTCCCAGGTCTCCGAGCACCAGCCTTTGAAAAATAACTCTTCAATATAGACATTCTAGGCGTCAGAAACTTAAGCTCTCGCCTAAGTCGCATCATTTTTCATTTCCCATTTCTCATTGTGAGGATGAAGGTGATCATGGCAAACGCTCGAGGGGCGGGGGGGTTGAGAGGGGGACGACTATTTTTCATTTGACGTGAACTTCACGGTATCATTGCAACGAGACATATGAGCCGGGAGGTGAAACTTAAAACGGTAGTTCAGAGGGTCCGGGAGTTTTAGTTGACTGGGCGATGTATTAATTGGGGCTGTTGAAAGTTTCGAGCGGTCGATTAATTTTTTTTTGTCATTATCAGAGTCGTAGGTGAACTTCGGGGATTCTTGCGCATTTCTTAATTGGAGATTTAATTGGTTTGGAGGGATATGTACATCTAGAGAAATGGGGTGTGAATGGAGTTCTTCAAATGACTCGTACACCCAGAAACATGTTTTTTTTTGTCAAATAAAAATCTTTATTTGACATTTTTTACTTATTTCAAGCAGTTTTTGTTGCAAATCAATAAACTTATTTACTTGTTTCATGATAAGGGATTTAATTATATTGAACAAACAATTTATTTATGTCAAATACAATTTTTATTAAGTTTGAAAAAACAATTTATTTATTTCAAATAAATAATTTTCTTTAGACTAGTCTTGGTCTAAGCTTGAATCAAGCTCGAACCAATGGTCAATTCTCACTTGGGATGGGGGAACCGCCATTTGGGAGGGGGGAGGAGTGAGAACCTTTCTACCAGTGTACACTGTTAAAAATTTTCCACTGAAATTTTCTGCAAAAGTTTTGAAAATAACAGGTACCTAACAAGTATCATTTCCACTAAAATTTCAAGCAATTTTGTAATCGAAAATTGATAATTTCATGGAAAAATCCGGTGGAACTATAATTTTCAGTTGAATTATTAAAATTCAGAGAAATCTCTCCTTGAATTCCAGCTTTTTTTGAATTTTCAGGGAATTCTTTTCAGAATTTTCTGAAAATTCACGGGAATTTGGCAGTGAATATTCATTATCACTTGAAAATTCATGTAAATTGCAGAATGTCTGCTTTCCTGCAGACATTCTATAATTCTAGAAAAAAACATACATTCTACAATAAAAATAAAGACTATTATTACATTTTACGGAAAAAAATTACTATCATTTCAAATAGTTGATTTTTCAGTTTTAAATTTATTGTATTTTATTACTAAAAATCAATTATTATTATTATTACAGAGATATGTATACACTAATGTAAACATATCCATTTTCAGAGAAATTCAAAACTTTATTGACTTTTTCCCCTTAAATCGAATTCAGTAATTTTTCCGCAAAAATCAGCCGAATTTTTTCAACAGTGTAGACTTGTTTTCAGATCTAAATCTCGAAAATTGCAGAATTTGTTAGGGTATCGGTACACATGCTGTTAGAAATTTTTTGAAGTTTCATGGAGGATATTACAATAAATCTCACAAGAGTGACATTGAATCGGATTTAGGGAAGAAATGTTTATGAAATTTCAAGTTTTAAGTATAATTCACGGACATTCCTAAGTTTCCAGTGGGAGTGAGATGGAAATTTCACAACTTGATTGAATTTCCAATGAAACATGAATATTCAGAAAAAAAATTACGTGAATTTTCAATTTTTCCCGGAATTTTCCTGATTTTTCTGAATTTTCACAGAATAATTGAAGTGAAAAATTGAGTAGTTTGTTGATTTGCAGATCATTTGAATAAAAAATCAATGGAATACTTGATTTTTTTAAGGACAAGATTTCCTGAAATTCCAGTGGAACTTGAACACGATAAAAATTTTTCGAAATTCGGCACGGAAAATTCAGACGAAAATTTTTAACAATGCACTTATTGTTTGCTAACAACATTGACAACAAAAGGACCCTTGAAAAGACATAATCGGATTTCCACCCATCACCGGGTTTCAAATTGAACCTATAAAATGATAAATTCATTAAATTCCAATCCATCCGAGGCCAGAAATATTTGAATTCAATCAAACTCAAACTAGCTCGTAAATTTTGATTGGATCTCTGAAAATTGCCTGGAGATACGAAATTAATTCGCCCCCTGATTTCCATTACACACATGAGTGACAGGACACGTTTGATGTTCCAGTTTGTCCGGCTTTAAACTCTTGTGATGCAACAACACCTAGTTGAATACGTTAAAACACCAGTGCCATTCCTCCACATGTCCACATGCAAAATGTTCCCAGTTTGCAAATCGCCAGGGCATAATGAGCCAGTCTGCAACTACGCGCATACTAGTTGGGGCGCGACTATCCTCGGTGTCTACTTCATTTACTTTATAACAGTGGAGTATTAATTCCTCCAGGGCGCGGCAATCAACTAAGGGATGATCAAAAGTTCTGGAATATTTCATTTTTTTGCTGGGCAACTTTTTTTGTTACATTTTCCGGCGCATTTGCACGAGGAAATACGACACACGGGTCCGGAGCTAATACTGAGAACAATGGAATTGAATTTATTTGGTTGTAGAGTTGCTTGTTGGAGTACAGTTGTTGGACACAAAATCTAGTGGCAATAACTCGGGTCAAGCTCTATTCATTCAACGGTGGAGAGGAGAAAAATTGAGAGGGAAAATGTCCATTCAAATACGCAGATGGGTATGATGACATTTTTTTACGTTCGGTTTATTGATATTTTCTCTGTGCGTGGATCTACAAATGAAATGCGTTATTGGAAGGGAATCCCTCTGAAATGTTTTTATTGCATTTCATTATTTTTTCTCTCGATATCACTCTGCGAAAAGACTGATTTCTAGAATTAGAAAAAAAGTTGCCACTGTTTTTTTTTTTGGACGATGTGAAAGCTTAGGAGAAACACGTTGGTGGATGCTGCAGAAAAAAGAGTAATTCTCACACAGTAAAAACGAATGTCTGAATTTCACACTCCCTTTGTAGACATTTTTCAGAGACTAAAAAACGTTTGAATAAAATGAAAATTTCTCTGAATTTCAGACGAATAGGTGCCTTAACATCTTACTTCATGTTTGAAATTCAGACAAATTTTCATTTATTCAGACATTTTCTAGTGTCTGAGAAATGTATACAAAAGGTGTGTGAAATTCAAAATTATTTCTATACGATTTCCATAGGTTTGATCCTATGCGACCCGCTGTCATATGTATAGAAACACTCGCATGGAGTTGCGACCTTTCTCTACATTTTTCTCTGGAACGTTTAGACATCTTTCATATGAAAACAAAAATTTATGTAAAAATTTGTGTATAGAAATAATTCGTATAGAAATATTCGAATATCATATACGGAAATCCTATAGAATTTCTCTACGCAATCCGCATAGAAAATTTCTATACGATTTTTTCATACACGATAAGTCTCAAAATAAAGCTTGTTTTTTATGTGTGAATAACCATTCCATCATAACCACATATTTCATCAAATATCATTCAGGTACACATTTGCGCACCAACCTACGTCGAACAGATGGCTCATCCCATGCCTTCCTTTAGTTAATTCCCCTTTGACAGGTTTATCAATATCCCCGGTCCTTTGTCAACTATCCTGCATAAATTTGACAAGGCCGATCACAACTCTGATTCGGAGAATTTACGAAAGGCTTGTTAGTGTTCATTCCCACCACATCAAACCAACCCCAAGTCATAGTAATCAGCACAATATTTCCAAGGAAAGCGAAGATAAATTACTATAGAAGACCCTCTTGACCTCAGATTTATGATTTAATATAGTGATTCGATGCATTTTTATGAATTATTAACGGGAAAATAGATAAAAGGTCGCTCACAAAATCTCGAATTGTTACTGTTGTTGTGAGTTGTGGATATACTGAGAAAAAGGAAGATTTTTAAGAAGTAGGGGAAGGTAGGGCAGAAAAAAATAATAAAATTTCAGGTTCCCCTGACAATTCAGTAAAATTTCAAAGTTTTAAGCAGCATAAAGACGAAAATTCTTCAATTTACTTGAATTTCCAATCAAATATGAATATTCAGTGCCAGATTACATTGAATTTTCAGTGAAATCTGAAATTTCATGATTTTTTCCCCTTAAATCGCAATCAGTGTCACCGTCCTGAAAATTTCAGGACATATTTACCGGACTTTTCGGGTTTTCTATTTATTTTCATCAAAAAATGGAACTGAAATCGACAATTCTCATTGATTTTTCCACGAAATTCTGAATTTTTAATGACGAAATTCCTTGAAATTTTAGGGGTAATTAAATTAGACAAAAATTTCCAAAAAATATAAAGGAAATTTTAGATTAAAATTTTTAACAGTGTATTGATCAAAACTCCCAAGCTTTCCAACGTTGCTGGTGTAGAATCCCAAAAGAATTCAAAAAATTTGTGTGACACAATGTTTGCAAATTGTATGGTGTAACTTTAGAAAAGTTGAAGAATGTATAACAGTGCAGAAATTCGAAAATTCTGAGACAATACAACTATACTGATACGGAAAACAAGATCAGAAGAACTCAAGGAGCATCACTGAATTCGATGAGTACATGTATTAACCTCGGAAGGAGCGGCAACTGGGGTGTATCTCCGCTCTAGGGACGATTCAGTGCAGTGGATTTTGCCGAGGAAATGTGATAGCACTTTGGGTTCTGTGATGCGAGAGAAAATGCGGCACTACCCACGTACGAAAAAACGAATGGGCCGAGCTTGGCCCAAGCCCGGTGGCCGGCCTGCCGAACTTCGGGACCCGTTCCTCAACCGGGACCGCGCCGGACTTGGTTGAAANGCAGTTTTGTGACAATCGTACGGTGTCTACCTTTGGAATATATTTTATCGCATGTTACACTCCCATTCGTGATGGCAAATTTATAGCTCTATTTTTGGGATTTTGTTTTCAATCTTACCTGGGCTTGGTATAGAACCATTGTGGCATTTCAGAGCGCCCAGCTCAAGCATTTGCTGCTGGATCGTTGGACTGTTGAAATCGATGTCATTCTGGAAAAAAAATCAGGCCATTAGTTTATTATGTGCTTCTTGAAGAAATTGGTAGACGAATACGAAGAAATAATGTCTTAAATTAAGACGCAGACGTCAATGAAGGTGTTTTTTCCCTTTTTTAAGGAATTTCTGGACAATACTTGAGTCAAAATGAATTTCAATAATTTATATATCGATCTCAAGGGTTTACCATTAAAGCGCGAAATCTAATGTTTGAGCATCATTTGAACGAAGTTGCAATTGCAGTTTATACGTGTCTCAACGACAGGGACGACGATCAGAAAATCAACGACGGCGATCTTCGCGGTAAATCGCAAAGTCTAGCGTTTGAGAAATATTTTAACAAAGTTGCGATTAAAGTTTATACATGTCTCAAGGAGAGGGACGACGGAGAACAAGACCAAAGCGTCCGTTTTCATCTGATGGCGATCTTCGCGTTAAATCGCGAACTCCAATGCTTGAGCATCATTTCAACGAAGTTGCAATTGCAGTTTATGCATGTCTCAAGGACAAGGACGATAGATCAGAAAATCAACGACGGCGATCTTCGCGGTAAATCGCAAAGTCTAGCGTTTGAGAAATATTTTAACAAAGTTGCGATTAAAGTTTATACATGTCTCAAGGAGAGGGACGACAGAGAAGAAGATCAAAGCGTGCGTTTTCATATGATGGCGATCTTCGCGTTAAATCGCGAAATGTAACGTTGAAGCAACATTTTAACAAAATTGTAATTGATGATTACACTTGTCTCAAGGAGGGGAAGGACGGAGAAGAAAATCAAAGCGTCCATTTTCACATGAACGCGATCTTCGCGTTAAATCGCGAACTCGAACGTTTGAGCAACATTTTAATAAAGCTGCAATTGAAGTTTATACATGTCGCAAGAGCGGAAACGCGAATCAGAAAATCAAACGGCTGATTTTCGTATGACGGCGACCTTCACGTTGAATCGCGAAATATAACGTTTGAGCAACAAGTTAACGAAGTTGTACCCTGATGAATCTCCCTATTGAGGAATTCCGTAATTAGTTTCATACACAAACCCTTAGACGTTGTTAGTAGAAATTGGCGAATCCTCTTAAAGGATTACAAATTTTCCCGAGAAAATAGTGGCCAATGAACAATAGCCCACTGAATGCGGTGACGGGAAAACAATGGGATGCTGGGAGCAATGAGGGAGATATTCCAACCATGGCCGCTCACATGCGTATGAAATTATTCGAGAGAAAATCGTAGTGCATCCGCTTGGAAATTCTAGTTATGCTTCGCCGATTGCTATGAAAAATTCCACAACTTTTCGACGTGTTATTGTCTGCGGAAAATTTAAATGAAATTGTGTGATGGGAAAGAACGGTAATAAACTGAGGACCACGTCTTCATCTTATAAAAACTTGTAACAATCTAAAAATATCTCTGGTAATTCTCTTCTAGCACATGAATTGTTAACGAGTAATTATCTTATAGATTTATATACATTTACACACGGCAAAATTCTCGATACTACATTATTTATTAGAAATGACCTTTCATTTAGTTATAAATCTCGATATTAACACTTATAGGATGCAGCACACTGAGAACAAATCGATATTTCTGCCAACCAAATTTGTTTCGGAGAAATCAATACCCAAAATTTGCATATAAAATCTCCCTACAGATTCTGGTCTGAAACATATTTGATCTGCAGAACTATATTTTTTCTCAGCGTAGACGCTCGTTATAGTCGCTCCCGTTATAGTCGCCCATCCCCTTGATCGCTTTTTCGCCAGAGTGAATACTTCCCCCACTCCCCATCATTCTCGACTCCACAATGTAAACACATCGATGGTTTATTAGATGCACTATTGTTCCGCCTTCCCAGGAGATCGTCGATGTAAAATACTCTGACAGTAAATTTTCGAAAAACTGGGCGCATGGTGGGTGTTGCATCGTTTTAACGATACTCCTGAGTTACAAAGGATTTTAATTAGGGGAGAGTGGGGCAAAATGAAACAACCAAAAACGACTATTTGACACAATTCAAGCAAAAAAACAATTTTGTTGTCAACCTTTGTTTATCAACTTTTTTTATCATTGGGGGGGACTGATGAGAGTAATAATTATCTATTCGTCTCATAAATCAATGAATTGTAATTCAATTGATTAGATTAGGCCGATTGCACTTTTCTTTTTTCATTCGATTGAAATTCAGTATCACATTTTTCTTTTTCCCCCTCTGGCTCTCCCCCTGGGCTTTGTTCTGGACTTTGGATTTTGTTGTTTCATGTTCTTTTCAATTAATCCATTGACACAATCTTCTCCCTTCAAAAGTTCTCAACAATTTTCCATTCTACTGAATGGAAAATTATTGTTCTCATCAGTACTCTCAGGAATAAAAAAATGGTAATAAGCAAAAGTTAATAAAAGTGAAAAGTTGAATTGCGTCAAATAGTCGTTTTTCAACTGGTTCATTTTGCCCCGCTGTTTTATTTTACCCCACTCTTTCCTAGGTTAATCTCAAGTTGGGTTGATTTGTTTGAAAAAAAGTGATACTTGAGCTACTTTGATTTGATTTTTTTACCCTTACTCTCTTTGATCCTTATTTTTCCGACTCATATTTTCTGACCCTTATTTTTCCTATAATTTTGTTCGTGCGTGACGAGGCGAGATAAGTCGAGTCGAGACGAGACGAGAAATGCTATTTTCCCGTCTCGCAATAGATTTAAAAAAATAGCATTTCTCGTCTCGTCTCGTCTCGCGGCATCACTAGTTACAATTTGTGAAAATTTATTTACAATAATTCAGTCGTCGTACTCTGGACATGTCAAGTCAAAATATTCGACTTGTATTTCCTTCCACTTTCCTCGTCAGAAACGCATCTATGAGTTATTATCTAGATTGAACACTCGACGCTGAATTGTTTGTTGGAACCCTCGTGAAGGGTGAAATTCTGGAGCTGCACTGGAATAATTTCATGCACTTCTCATCCCGAAGGGAATGTTCCTCTCTTTACATCGATAATCTGATTTACCGTTGGAAGCATTCGGGGTTCTGGAGTGTTTCTGGAGTTATGGTAGCATGCAAGTATCTCCAGTTTCCCCTTGAATTGTGCTTGACTTCAAACAATGGAATTCTATGTACAGAGAAAAGAATCCATAGTCTTGTATGCTGGAAATATTTCGCCGTGACGAGGAAAACTTTCGTCGTTAAGGATTCTGTTTACTGCCCATAAACGGAATACAAAATAACTAGTCCAGGCGATGCGCTCCAGCAAACGCGTTTGTTGGTGACTTTTCGTAAAAAGTCACCGATTTTGATAATTTTTTTATTTCAAATTGCTCAGAATCAAATAATAAAAAACTGTTGTTTAAAGAAAAGCTGGACTTTTGATTATTAATTTTTGAAAGTCACTGTAGATGCGTTTATCTCGGAAACTTTTGAGAAGTTATCGAGACATGCTGCAGGAAAAATGTGCGGAATTTCGTAATGAGTCAAATGTTTTTTTAGTTATTACTCTAAGTGAAATAGTTATCGAGATATCAATATTTGTTGGTCGGAGAACGCTGCAAAATCGGTGCATTTCTGCCTCATGCAGGAGCTGGTTAAAATTAAACAAATCGATGACTTCTTATAAAACGTCACCAACAAATAGGTTTTTAGAAGTGCATTGACTGGACTAACCCGGAGAAAAATTTGACGAAGAAATTGTGCGAGAATCGCTCTTAACCCTGGTCTGGTCACCGTACACAATCCTGCGACTTATTGGTCACCTCCGCGGGGATTCCCCGTCGCATAGTTTAGACTCCAGTATTGCCGGATTCACTCTACACTGCCCGGGCGCGTGCAGCGAGGTTTCGGCAACGTCGCATAACGATTATGTTGTTCCAAAAAATACTATAATTTTTTCGGCACTTCAATTGAAAAAGTCAATATTTTTTTAATTTTCCAATTAGCCAGTCAATGGCAATTGAAGAAGAACGATGCGCTCGAACGTTTTCCTCATATGGTTACCAACCTAGGATCAAATTTACTGGACATGCACGTTTGGACCGAGGGATACATCAAGGTATATAAATAATGCATTTATACCAAATGAAACTCTTTATTTGAAATTTTCCAATTCATATCAACATTTTTTTTTTTGGAAATGAATAAACTCGTATATTTATTCCAATTAAGATATTTCATTTATCCTAAATTAATAATTCATTCATTCCAAATGAATTCTTTGATACAATCAGATGAACGATTTTTTTGATCATTGAATTCTATAATTAACACATCTTCATTATTTAATTATAATTAATTATATTATTGTGGGGCTTAATCGTGAAAATCAAAATAATAAAATAATAATAAAATAATGTGTGAAATAATCATTCATAGCAAATGCTGTTCTCCTTTAACACGCGAAAATTACGTTCCGATCCATAAAATTTTCCGAACTCAAGAGGGGAAATTAATTTTTTTCTCCGGGTTTTTTCTGTTCTTCACCTAAAGATTCTCGAAAGGGTCCTTTCGCCTCGTTTGGTCACGTAATTTTTCCGGAAAAATTATGAGCAAGGGTTGATTTTCCCCCATCCTTCTTCCGTGAAAGATGAATATTATCAAACTTTTCATCCGAATAACTTTCTCCTACTAACTCGCGATTAACTTGTTCGAGAAAATGAATTTCTCCCTGCGCATTATTGAAGAATTCTTCATCTCCCGGGGTACAATTCCATTCCATCCAAGCTCACAAATATTTGAGGATTATGTCTGAGGATTCAAATCGGTTTATCATCTTCACTTCCCGTGGACTCTCCAATTTCATACGTCAATGCTCTGCGTCTTGACTCTGTGTTTTCCGTAAATGCATTTTCTACAAATCCTTTCCACTCAAATTCTCACTCATTCAACGTGACAGTTGGCTATTCCTGAGACTTTAGACATACCTCGGAGGTTCTTGAAAAGAATTATTCATAAATCCTTGAGATCTTTTCGTTGAGATCTTTCGATTTCTCCGTAGTTTCAATTAC